CCTGTCCACTATTGTGCGGTCCAGCCACACTAAACATCCCTATCTATCCGCTATCCAACTCTACCCACTCAGTTAACTTGAATAGTCAAACCGACCCGACACATCAGTCTTACTCAATTCAGTCTCCGTTTGAAATTGAAGTCTAATCTACATTTATGTCTCTTTTACTCGAATAACCTATGTAAACATTTTAAAGATTACCTAAACCAACATTAGGGGTAGACCGATATATCGGTTGGCCAATATATTGGGCCGATATTTACCATTTTTTATATATTTATGTGCACTGGCCAATTAACTTCCTTAGTAAAGCCGATTTAAAGTTGGGCACATCCCCGGGCAGCCTGGTGCTGTTGCAGAATTTCAGTGGAATGAATATTTGCATTCTTGATTAGTCATCTGTATAATAAATGCCCTAAAAATGATTTTCAACTGAAAGTTCTTTTGATTTACCAGTTTTGATTGTTATTTAATAATTAGTCAGTTTATTGCTTTATTTGATTAACTTTTTGGGTTAAATTCAGTGTTCAAAAACTGATTCAGCTTCAGAAAATGTGTGCATCAGCTGATGTTGTTGGTGACATTTTAGCATGCAAGTAAAGTGGAAAATGTCTGGATATTGGCCACGAAAAGTTGACCTAAAATTTGGCAGTACTTATCGGCCATTGACTGACAATTTCTCCTACACATCGGCATCGCAACAGAAAGACCAATATTGGTCAACTTCTACCCAACAATCAACATCAACACAATACCAGTTTGGTGATCCCACCTTCTTTTCTTTTAGAAGAGGGCATCAGTCAGCCTTTGAAAAAATGTTTAAAGGGGGCATGCTTTACAAAACTCACCTTTTGCATCCTTTTGTGCTGCCATGTGACTCTACTGCCTCTATTAACATTCCAAGCGGAGAAGAAAACTTCTGATTTTTGCCTGTGCTTGGTGTTAGGAGTTATTTGCTTACAACAAGACATTTCAAAAAGGCTTACAATGTCAAAATCAGGGGAATTTGTATAGTCCCCCCATTAGGGCTGAACGATTAATTGCATATGCAATTAAATTGCGATGTGACAAAAGGAGATTTTCTAATCGCAAAGGCTGCGATTTGACTGTCACTGAGAGGTTAGCACAATGCTAATATATATTGAAAAACCCATAGGGATGCTAATGCTAATATCACCGATTACATTCTTACAAATTACGAATTAGGAACGTGCCAAATGATTGCATTTGTAGTCTAATAAAAAGTAAAAAGTGCTAATAATCAAATAAGTACAGACAAATATTTTAGTAAAGCTAGAAAACTGTACGAGGCTTCAATTAGGGATGGGTACCTTTGACATTTGAATCGATCCGGTACTAATTCCTGGTACCTACGAATCGATACCAGTACTTAACGGTACCAATTTTCGATACTTTTGAGTGTTTAATATTTTTAATTCTCTTTTATAATTAAATATATATTTTTCTCAATATATAACCATATTTGATAAATATCATGATAAATAACACACAACTGTTTGTATTTTAACATTGTCCTTGTAGTTTTATAAGCTGATAATTAAACTGAAGCAAACATCTTTACTGTGACTAAATTTACTGTGTATCTTCATTCCTTTTACTGTTCTTTTTCAATTGATTTTTCCTACTGGGAAGATAGAATTTCCGAGGAGAAAGCGAACGCACCGTTAGATGATAACAATTGTGGCATAGCAAGCTAACATATCAAGCTAACGTTATCTTAAACAGTTTATTTAACTGCTGGAGCAGATTTAAACGATGATGCCTCACACTTAAATCGTTGTCACTGGTTTCATCTTCACCCAATCACCCGTCGCATTTAGTAAAGTGAAGCCGAACTTTAGAGCGCGTTCATGTTCTAGTCGGAATTTCGGAGTTCCGAGGAGAAAGCGAACGCACCATTAGTGAAACGGAAGCTAACAAATCAAGCTAACGTTATCTTAAACATTTTATTTACCTACCGGAGCTGCTCTGTTTACAACTGGCTCGCAGCGACCGATGACATAACGCTCTTGCGCATGCGCAGCTGTCTAGGCAAGTTCTCGTTGTGAAGGACGGGTACCGAAACGAGGCACCGTTTCAAATTAATTGAATCGGTGCTCGGTCGGTACTGTGGAATTCGGTCGGTACCCTAAAAAGTACCGAATTCGGTACCCATCCCTAGCTTCAACTCCACTGAGTTTTGGTTAGCAGCTGTGAATGTAACTGAGCTATCTTACACAAGCCCAGGTGACTGAAGCTTGGCTTCCATTTGGAAGTGAACTGTTAGCATTTGGTTTTACTTACCTTCAACTCTTCTGAAAATAATGCTGTCACCACAGTTGATAAATCACCTGACCAAATGGGAAGAGAACATTCTGTTGTTGATCCTTTGTTTGTGGTAATGTTGGGATTACTTTATTAATATTGCATTTCAACTGCTAAGCTTCCTAATGATGTATGCTTCCTGATCATTCATCTTATTAGATGAAAAATCAAGTAGTTTCTGGTAAATTACTTTGTGAATTTTCTCCCATATGTGCCGTTGAAAAGAGAAGTATGGAAAGCGGAGTTCGGTGTTAATTTAACACTTACAGAGAGCAGGTGTTTGATGCTGTTAGATTTGACATTCATGGTTGGGGATGTGCATGTGGACAATGTAAAAATGAGTCCCAATGTGTCCGTTTTAAATGCGTCAACGTACATCCTGTTTGTGTTACCTTCACATTCTTCTTATCATAAGAATGTTAAAATCAGAAGGAAACAAGAGTCTGACCAGATGTTTTTGCTATGATGTCACTGCTTGGTGTGGTTTGAGAAAAAAACTCAAGAAATATGCAAAGCTTTAGTTACAGGAAATGTTAGGTGTGGTCGTGGGAAGAAAAAAATCCTGTTGTTTCTCCTTGCATTGTTTTTCAGATGATTCTGAAATGGGTTAATGCCACCTTTATTCAAATCTAACCAATATGTTCACTTTCTGTTTGCAGATTCTGAGTAACAAAGAATATTGATTGAACACATCCACTTTGTGTTTGTGTTTTCAGGTTGGGTTGCCTACTAATTTGTAGCCTTTCGTTGTTGTGGATGGATTTTTATTTTCAGGATACAATGTAGACTGCAAATATTCCCATATAGATTCTGATGATCCAAACGACCTACAGGACTTTAGGTGAGGACACTGGTGATGAACTGGTGGTGCTACAGTATTGTTGTTGGTCTTTAGCCTCTGGTTGATGTCACCCTAACATTTTGTTGTGTTCCTTTCACTTTAAAAGTACATTGTTTCCAATGAGTGCATTTACATGCAGCCAGTAACCCTTTTAAAACCCAAAGATTCACAATAACCCGGTTCCGCACGGCTATGTAAACACCGCCAAAAACCCGGTTACTACACCTGGGGTAACCCCTTTCTAACCCGAATGTTTGGTCGTGTAAACGCATATCGGGATATCCCCATCAAAGCGTGTGTTCTGCGCATGCTCTGTTCGCAAGGAATATTGGTCTTTTGAGTAGCGAGACGTCTTGTACGCGCCAGAACACCGGAAGTAAACAACACGTTGGGAGCAACATGGTGAGTTGCAGTAAGAGCTGCTGGTGGGTCAATACCAGCACTAAAGCGCAAACAAACGCGGTCACTATCTCTTCCGAACTGGGAAACATGTTGTTGTTTTCACGGATACCGGAACAAGAAGAACCGGAAATGACGCATATTGAGTTAGGGGTAAGTCTTTCTATTTATGCTTGTAAACGGGTTATTCTGATCAACTCAGAAACCCGAATACCGACCTTAACCCGATCATAACCCGGATATAGGCTGCATGTAAACGTAGTCAGTGACACTTTGAGTGTGCAAAGGAATGAAAGGGCTACAATGGCTGCCATTGAATAAATTACTGCCCTTTGCTCATACTGTTGGGTTATTGTTGCAGTAATTTATGTAGTTTGGTTGGTGCTCTTACAACTTGGTTTCTGAACCATAGATGTAGCTAATGTGTTCAACAAATGCACTTTTGGGTGGTTTTCTTGTCTGAATGTGATGGCCTAAATTTTGTTTTCATTTCACTGTTAGACTCTAGATGTTTTTTGTGGTCTAACCTAGATTAACCCCATCTGATGAAGATGTGCTTAGTTCAAAATGTGGGACAACTTACATAAGCAACTTTTGATAGGCTCCATTTTCCGTTTTTAAGACTTAACCTCTTAAATAAAGTTTTATTTATTTTCTAAAATTCCCTATGGTCTGGTTTTTTCTCTCTCTCTCTCTTGACTCTGCTCTGGTCACTTCCTGCAACCATCCATTTCTAAGAAATGTAATCTGATAGCAGCCTGCGTGTGTCCTGGCCCTCCAGTTTGTATGAGGGTATGCGCTTCTGGTTTTACAGGATTACAGAGTAACCATTTGGAAGCAATTTGCCTGAAATTGGAGATTAGCACTGCCTTGGATTACTTTTGGAAAACTTTAGTTTTATTATTATTATTATAGCTTGTAAACATTTGTGGTTGAAAATGCATATATTGATTTTTTTGAAGTTATGGACTTAAAAACACAACTAAGCTGACTTGAGACAATGATGTGCTTCAGAAGATGTGTTCGTATGCTTCTCAGAACCAAGATTAGAAGCGCATGTGATGTTTCTTCTCTTCACTGCAGAGGATACATTAACAAAGGCGAGCATGTCTGCGTGAAGAAGACCAAACTCTTTTGGTTTAATATGACTGCATCTGCATTCTTACGTGATCATATACAGAAGTCTGCTTTCCACTTCCTGGTCTTGTTAGTGCTTTGTCGTCGTCATGTTGCTGGGGGAGAATCCAGGTGGTGACATGTGCACACATAGATACACTCTGTGTAGCTCTGGCTCTCATTCACACACACACACACACACACACACACACACACACACACACACACACACACACACACACACACACACACACACACACACACACACACACACACACACACACACACACACACACACACACACAAGAAGCAGTCTGGCAAATTCAGGGTTAAAGGCTTCCATTTTGTTAGGTAACACCCTAATGGCCTGATCTGTCAGTGGCGTTAAAATGGCAGGGGCTTAACCCTTGGCGTTCGGGACACAACCAGTAGGGGCACACACACACACACACATGTGTGCACGCACACACACATACGCACACAGAGACTTCTGGGCTGGCCAAGCCTACAGCAGAACAACTGAGAAGAGGAGTGTGTGTGTGTGTGTGTGTGTGTGTGTGTGCGTGTGCGTGTGCGCGTGTGCGTGTGCGTGTGAGTGTGAGGCAGGGAGGGGTAAGATGAAGAGTGAGCTTGTGAGTGAGAAAGAGAAGACAAGGAAGAGTATTTTTCACTTGGGTACAGTTAGATTATGGCTCAGCTAACCACATGCGCTCTGCACACTTCTCCCTCCCCCAACCATGGCACCTCCTCAGCTGGGTCCCTGCCCCCATTCCTAGTCTGGTGCACAAGTAGGTAGTCTAATCTTAATTCTTTCATTATGTAGATGATGTTTGAAAGGGACATCAGAATCTAAAATTGCTCGAAAGATGCGCGATTGAGAAGACATGTTGGTCATTAGTGTTCGTGAGTTTGGAGTTGTAGCCTTTAATTCACATTTTCAGTCAAATCCACTTGTGAAATACTTGGCAGTTTGAGGGATTAAATCAATATTCCGAGGCCTGCTGCTCCTTAGCCACCCAAAAATGAGTTGTTTCTTTATTTTCTAGTGTTGGTAATAATAATTCATACTTGTACTGTGTTTATTGGACAGTGTAATTGTTGTTTCCCCTCATATAGAGCCCTAAGGACACAGTTCAGAAGCTTCTGTTATTTATTTATTTTTTATTATTATTATTATTATTTTGTTAAAATGGCTGTTAATGTGTTCGCTGGCTGTGTTCAGTCCCAGTGGGGGGATCATTACAGTGCTTGAGATGAGCGGCGAGCAGGCTACCTGAGGGAGGGGCGAGCCTTGTGCCATTGATCTGTTCTCTGTGAGCTGCTGGACACAAAAGGAGAGTGACTGGGAGTTAAACCTAGAGTGTCAGCTCAGGTCACAGATTTCCAGCTGCTCTCAAGCGAGCACATCTTGTCCCGCTGTCCTGTACACATGGGTGGTGCAAATATGATTTGGGCTGAGAGTCCCTCTTGGAGAAATCTAAGTGCATTAGCTGTATTGATTTTTGGAGGCAATTGGCCTTTTCATGTTGTTTTTAAGTTTTTAATAAATTCACAGCCCCAGTAATGTGTATTTTCTTTCAAACATTTCCTCAGTTTTCATGCCTTTTTAATTTTTGGGAAACTATTGACCCATTTTTCTTCTCCCTCTCTAGTCTTTTGATAGGAAGCCGCCACATAAAACCTATTACAGGCTGGTCCCCATCCACCATCTTTTTCATTTCCATGTCTTTGCTATTGTTGATACAATTGTATGCTAGGTAAAAGTCTTTATCGAACAGTCTGGTGACAAGCATGCTCCAGCTTTAATTAGTAATAAGACTGTATTATTGATATTAATGCTTGATCGTTCTTGGTATCCAACATTTCTTTACTCTTTGTATTGTGTGGACCACATGTATTCACTCAATCTATAAGTAAGTCAATTTATTAATTGTTTTTCATTAAGGTAGAATTAAAATGTACATGCTCAGATGATTTATTCAGTGGGTGAAATGTACCAATTACTGTCTCCCACACATGGTTTATAAACAAAAACGTCTAGAAAGGCTGATATGTGAGGAACAGTTGTGACATTTAGTTACAGACTTTTGACCAGACCACTTAAAACCTTGTTTTTGTTGTTTTTTTGAGCTTTTCATATACACATACTTGCTAGGTTGCTCAGCTCATTGTCTTGCTGCATAACCACGTCAACTTCAGATGAGATAAAAGCTGGACACTCTGCTCCAGGTCTTTCTGGTTTTTCTGGTGTAGAGCAGATTTCATGGTTTCATTGGCAATACCAAGACATCTTGGTCCCAGAGCAGACTATCGCACTGCCACCACCAGTTTGGTCTTTAAACGTATCCGTTGATACCAGTTTGCCTCATCTCTTTCTCATTTTTGAAACATAAATTAATGTTAGATTTTGTTCCGCTTCTCTTCTAAAACTTCTTTAGAACCAGGCATGATGTGTTGTATTTTCAACTTCATGTTATCAGACAAGTTCTATTGATGTGATTGCCTAATTCTACAGACCTAGCACCAGTCAGACCCATTTCTCTAAATAGCATCAATCAGAGGTCGACCGATATTGGTTTTTCTATTACAGATGCCGATATATAGGAGACATGGTCAGCTGATGGCCGATATATATTGCAAAATTTTATGGACTGGTTTTCATGGCCAATATCTAGACATTTTCTACCCTGTTTTCATCCTTAAATGTCACTTATAACATCAGTGGATGCACAACATTTCTGAAGCTGAATCAGGTTTTGAACTCTGAATTTAACCAACTGTTAAATCTTAACTTTGTGCTCTGCTCCATGTTAAAGTTGGTGACCTAAATAAAGTTAGAGTATTTATTATGCAGATGTTATTAGTGAATGTTGCATTAGAGTAAAGTTCTGCAACAGCACTGGCCTGCCCATGGATGCTCCTGATTTTAATTTGGCTTTACTAAGGACAAACATTGGCGGATGCCAATGTACAAAAACAGTACATAGATACACAGCTGATATATCGGCTGACTGATTTATCGGTCTACCCCTAGTAGTATCCCAAAGATGAAATATAAATCCCGTGGAGAGCGGGCCTTCACGTTCGCTGCCCCCAAACTTTGGAATGCACCCCCCCTCAGTGTTCAACAGGCCCCGTCACTGTGTCGGTTCAAGTAGGTGCTGAAGGCCTATTTTTATCATTTAGGTTTTGATCAATAATCAAACTTTTAGTGTTTTACTCTGTGGTGTCTTCCCTGCTGACATGGGCTAACCTTTTACAATGTTTTGTTGTGGCCTTGTTTTTACTCTGGGATGTTTCTTTTAAATCTTTTATTTCTTCTAATCTATTATCCCTTTCAACATTTTATCTGAACTCTTATCTTGTTGTTTTTTGGGGGTTCCCGTATATTTTATTTATTTATTTTTTTACTACTGTAGAGCACTTTGGCCAGCTGTCATGCTGTTTTTAAATGTGCTTTATAAATAAACCTGATATTGTATGGTAGCAATTAGAGTGGAGTTTACCTTTTTAAACAGCCAAAATGATTGAAACATATTTTGTTCTTTAATTAATGAAATCCATCATTTGAAAGCAGTATTTTATATTTACTCATGTTATCTTTGATCTTGAACTTTGTGCACTGATCTGAAATGTGCATTCCAAGTGCTTCATAATGAAGCACTTGGAATGCGAAAACGTATACGTGGTGCATTGCTGGTCATTGTTAGATATTTTGGGTGACAAACAGCGTTCTTGTCTGAAGTCACCTGATTTCCATTTTGTTTAAAAAGAATAATGTGACCCTTGACCCGTGTTTTCCAGCGTCTTCTGAAGATTGATTAGATGATTTACTTTGCTGTTGACATGCTGTTTGCTGGAGTTGTTGAGTCATTAAAGCACCTATCCCCTTGGTCCACATGGGTTATTTAGACTGCTATGATTTTATACGTACATTTTTTAAGACAAGCTTTAAAACCTGTTGGCTCTAAAACTGCACCACAAAAAAAGCAATGTTTCAAGTATGTTTCTTTGCAGTTTCTCAACCACAAACTGTTGTTTATCAGAAATAGGTTTGTGTTTATCCCACATGAGATCCCCCTCAGAGTCTGGTGTCAGAAGGCAAGGCGCTATGATTGATGCGTTTCTTTTAAAACTTTTAATTTCCAATTCTTCCTCACTCCTGGTTTGACGGGATATAGGCAGATTACACCCTACTCAGCCTCACTCCCACACTTCCTTAAAACAATGAGAATTAGCTTTATGTGCTTTACAATAGGGCTGCACAATATATCGTAAATATATCATTATCACGATGTCAGCATGCGCAATATGCATATCGCAAAGAACAGATAAATATTGCAATGAATGGTCAGCTCAAATGTTTGCTACACATAGGGCTGTAGCGAAGCCTCGACGAAGTCGACGGCTCGATTCTAAAAATTTGTCGACGTCAGATCCGGAAGTCGACGCACCGCGCCCACTTGTTGCATCCCCAGGAGTTTGTAAATAGAGGAGGAATCTGCCTGTTCTTCCTCTAGTTCGCCCTCTTCTACGCCTTCACTAACATCTCCGCCAAATACCGAAGACCCGGAACAACGTCCGTCCACTACTAGATTATTTTCCTGTTTTGCCCCTTCGTCTCCCGGCAACGGACAACAACTTCCGGGGTCAGATGCGCTGCTTCGTGTCTATCGCAGATGTAGAAAATCACCGGGAGCGCTTCTCCCTTCATAAAGGAGCTTCTTTCAGACATGAGGAGAGCTGTTTTGGTGGTAGCAGTCTCTCCTCCGTGCTGGTCTGTTTGCTGCTGGGTGTTTTTGGTTCATTTAAACTTGGTAACTTGAACTTAATGTTGGTAAAGCTACTGTTAGCATATTCGCTAACAGCTTCTTGCGTTGGGATAAGCTGTTACGTTTTGGTTTAGAGTTCATATTTTTTGTGGTGTAGATCTCCCTTTTATTACATTTAGAGTGTTGTGGGTTTTCGGTTTAGTGTAAAATACCACCTGAGTTTGGTTTAACCCATAAGACCACTCGCCTCACGCACATAAGTAACCAAAACAAAGCAGCATGGAGACACTCCATCTTCTACCACCTCTCAGGCAGCAGCCTGCACTCCCAAGTTCTACACGTCACCAGAACATAAACAACCGCAACACAATAAACGCAGTGTTATACAAAATGGAAGGCCTGTACTGTTTATTCTCTTACAGTAAGAATTTATCAATTTTTTTTGAGGAATTTATTTGAGATTTTCTGGTTTTTGTTAATTGTGCAATAGAAAAATAATCATTAGATTAATTTTCTAAATAGTCATTAGAATAGTCGACTATTCGATAAAATAATCGTCAGAATAATCGTTTTAAAAATAATCGTTTACCCCCAGCCCTAGCTACACATAATGCATTCTGTCAAACGGAAGCGTGATGTTTTTTTTAACAAATCAAATGGAACTCTTCACCCATTTGGAAACTTGGGTGGGTTCTCATAGGTTGGATGCCCGTCCTTGAGGCAGACGGCACTTCATTTTGATGGTTAGTAAACACCTGAGTTAGCTTTGTTCTGCTCTTTCTGCTGATTCTGCTTTTCCCGGGATCCACTGATTGCCGTTTCTTGTTAATTTTCTTTTTCCATTTCCTCACATCTTTTCCTTTTCTCATTTTTATGATTTTTTTGTCTTTTTATTTTTGTTTTTGATTATTT